GTTTTCATTGGGGGAAGAACTGGCTCCTGATTGGTCAAACCTCTTCCTGGTCTGAGAGCGGTGTGTCTGCTGCTTCGAATTGCACTGTATTATCAGAAGCAACTTTGAAGGCATCTTTTTTATTTCCAGATATTTTTGTAAGATTGTTTTTTTCCCCCATAGCTTTAGGGAATTCTTCCGTTTAACGCAATAAATAGATCGGCTCAAGTTTCCGCCTTCTCCCATTTATTCCCATTAAAATGATAGATTTTGTTTAGTAGACCTCAGAGCATTGAGGGGTAGAACGTATACAACACATGGACACAGTGAATCCAGGAAATACACACAGTACGTGCCTTCTATATTCTAGCCATTTCACAAGCACCATACACAGAATCTGCTTAAAGGGACACTATAGTCACCCAGACCACTTCAGCTCAATGAGCTGAGGTCCCTCTAGGGTTAACCCTGCCTGCTGTAAACATAGCAGTTTCAGAGAAACTGCTATGTTTACATTTGGGGTTAAGCCAGCCTCTAGTGGCTGTCTTCTGGACAGCCACTAGAGGTGCATCTGCAACGCTGGAGGCATATTATGCCTCCATCACGCAGAGCGTCCATAGGATAGCATTGGAAACTACTATAACCACTGCAATGCAGAGTCTAAGGTGTTTTTTTCCCCTTTTTCTAAACACCTGAGACACACCCAGGTAATCCCCAAATCCTGGACTGGTAGGGGGTCCTGAGGACTGGGTTGAGAACCCCTGTATTAGAAGCTCCTAGAAGGAGAGGAGGTAGACCCAGGTAAGAACTTACCATTAACAAACAGTTTGAATACTTACATTCTGGGGTAACAGGGCATGGCGCCATTACAGCCCACTGTAGTGGTTATGGTGCTTAAAATGTTCCTTTAACCCTAATTCATCACAAGTCAGAACAAATAGTTCACCATTCATTAGTATTGGGATTTTTAACATTTAGTAAAAAGAAATGTAATAAACACACCAGAATTATTTATTCAGGAAATGCCAAAGTTTGGCAAACCGTAAACCAAACTACAAAATGTAACCTACCATGACCAACCTGTGTTTATAGCGTTGGACATGCTTTTCAGATAACATTGTGATTTGAATTTAGCAAATAACCCCAGGTTGCTTTTAAAGCTCCTTTAAGCACTTTCCATAATTTCATTCCAGCTGAGTGTGAACATTGTTCCTTAATTAGTGTCATCTAATGATTAATCAGGTTTTCAGGCAGAACTTTGATCCTAGTTCGGGATGGGAAACATTTAGTGAGGTTTCATGCACTTTCACTGTTTGCTGTACCAGGCTGTCAGTGTGCCCAGTACTGAGCC